TATTCAAATAACTAAACAGTTATAGAGAAATCTATCAAATATTTGTCTATTTGTATTCTCTTCTTATATTTGTTTTTATACTGATTGATTGTCAATTAAATTATATCACATATTTCAAATAATTAAATATTTCCAATGCTATTTAAAGTAGGATTATTTTTTACTATTTACCAAACAAAGATATTTTTATTTTTAAATATATAAACCTTTTGACATGTTGTTAAATCTAACTGAAAAGAATTATTTAATACTTTTATAAATCTAACCGATTGACTCAAATAAGATGATTACATTGTATAAAAATCTGAATTTTGAAAATTTTTTTTTGCTGTTTTAATATTTTATTATACGTAAAAAACCGAGCATAAAGTAGAAAAAATCCGTAATTTAAAACACGGGCTAGGCGGTGCCCAGGCGCAATGCAGATGCCGAGCGCCCCGATTTTAGACTATTCTGTGATTTATGCATTTTTAAAAAATGCGGATGTTTATGCGGTCTACGCGGGGGTTTATGCAGTCTAGGCGGACGATTATGCGGCCTAGGCAGATATTAGGAGGCCATATAAAAAAATAAACAAAAAGATCACAATTTTATTATTATATTATAAAAGAAAGTTATTTATCATAATTAATATTTATTTTTACCCTCTAAAGAATAAATCTAGGGGGAATCACAAAAATGCCACAAATGAGCCAACAGTTTGCAAAACTGCCACACGCGCTGGGCCCTTTACAAAAATGCCACGATTCTATCCGAGAAGGATAAATTTACCCCTGAAACAAAAGAACGCTCTCAATATTCTCTCTCCCAAAACCTAATCGCCATCAGCACTTTTCATCTCTTTAGAAAGGAAATCGAAACTTTTTAGACGTAATTRRAGAGGAAATCGAAGWTTTTTAGAGGTYATTYGAGAGGAAATCGAAGCKTATTAGAGGTAATTTTCATCTCTATTTCTCGATTTCTCAATCTAGATCTAGATCTAGTTTTTGATTCGCGATTTCGTAATTTTGTCGATTTGTATAGCATATTTTACTAGTTTATTTAACTTTGTCAATGATTTTTCGATTCGCGACTATCCGATATTGTCGATATGAGTTTCAAACTTGTCGCCGCACTTGGTTTGAGTATGTTAATCTCGCTAGTTTTTCCTTACTGACGTGAATCTAGGTAAATTTATGGGTTTTAAACAGTTTTTAAAACGATAATATATGAGATGGAAATTGATGGTTTAAATCTGTAAAATTAGGTAAAGTTTTGTTCTTGAAGTGATTACGGATAAAATTCAGACAATTTACAGATTTTATAAAGGTTTTTAACAGTTTATAAATCGGTAATTGATATGTGTTTTCAACAATTATTCAGATGAATCAAACAGATGATGAAATATTTGATGGCATAAACATGCCTGACATGCCTGAACAAATTTACAAACCTGGTTTTGAACCTGACGATAATTAAACAGTGCATCAACATGTCAACCTGGAATTAGTTAAAACTGTGCGAGCAATACTAGGACTTGAGTTGTTCAGTAGGATCGAAAACAGTTTTCTCGGTCCTATTGTACAACTTGCAGAGCG